TTTTAAAACCGGTACTTAACAGATTAAACACAGACAAAACAGTGCAACTAAACTGGTTGAAGGTGTTACAGAATCATTGATTTTTCATGGTTTAAGACAGACCAAGAAAAGGACTAAGCTATCACAGAAAATGCACCTGCAAATCACTTAGTGACTGAAGGTAAAGCAGTCTGTGATGTGATGAAAAGGAGAAAGAAAACAAATCACCAAAACCTTACCCATAGCAGCTGTCTTTATCATCTGTTCTAACAGACTGACACCCATAGACCGTGGGGTGAAAGCAAACTGCCCTAAAGGCCTTCAAAGAACAACTCCTCCACCATTTACAAAAAATCATCCAGATATGTGGATACTTATCAGAAAAAGGGGTAAAGCATCACTGAAGCAATCAAGACCCATCTCTGTGTGGTCCTGCAAGGGGATCAACAATTTCCTTGCAAAACGCTGTATTTTAATTTCACAGAAGCAATATTATCAGTTGGCCTACAGCTGCTGCCAGCTGCAGTATATTAACAAAGCACATTCGTGCCAGTGCTGGACTGTACCCAAGCCTGCAACCAGATTATTAGCTAATTTATAAGCCTGCCTTAGCCAACTTCCACAAAAACTCAGTGGCCAAACACAGCCCCTCCACCCAACACTCCCTTTGATGAAACAGCAGGTATTTCTTCTGCTAGTTTTATTTCTCAAATACAAAAAAATAGGTTAACCATTACACAATTAAATATTTCCACTTATTCTGTGGAAAAAAACCCCCTAAAAACAACCCAAGAAACAAACTAAAAACAACCAGGAAATCTGTTCTGGATCAGAAGCAGTGACAGAAACTGTGATCTGTGTCCAGGCAACCTGGTTTCACAAATCAGACCAAAATTACCTGGCAACCTACTCTGCCTCAGACAAACAGCACATGTTTAATGAGGGCTGCTGAAGGCTTGGTCTGTTGCAAGTTCTCTTGCATTTAGACATGGTATAGTCATCCAATTAGCCATTAAATTAAATATATTTCCTAAAAAATATTTATTCCATTGAAGGCTATATTTAAACATGTTCAAATCATGTTCAAATACTCTAAATTCAAATTCTTAAGCAAGTAACAAAATAAACAGGCAGAGACATGGTACTTACTTTTTATTTGCTTCTTAATGAACTTTGAATGGTCCAACCAGTGCTATAAAAAGAAAATCCATGTTTAAAGGCAGTGCCATTTAAAGATTTTGTTGACACAATAAAATAATTACAGTAAAATTTAACAGATAAAAATATATTAAAAGAAAATATTACCATATTTATTTGCCAAACTTATACACATTTGTGGAAGTGTTTATTTGCACTTTTGCCATCTTAACTTCTCTCATGGGGGAAAGCTTGACTTACAAATGCATCAGTAGTGCCAGGGAAGTTTCACTCTTCCAGAGAGGAAACCTCAAAATCCAAAGCCACAAAGCAGTGAGTGGTGTATAAGGAAAATACCCTTTTGTCCCCAGGTTCAACTGTTACCCAAGTGTCTCTGAGGAAAGCAGCCAAAACCCCCGCGTTTCATTCGCCTTTCAACTCCCTTGTTTGAAGAAGACCCTCCAGACCTTGTACTGTCCTGCCTTCCATTGGTCCATAGCCATATTTTTTCTAAGATAAGGATGAAGATTTAACCCCCCCTAAAAACATTTGGGAAACACTGATTTGTACCTCACTTCCCCTTTTTAAACTAACAGCAGAAGATCTTGAATAGATGCAACTACGATGACAAAAAAGTATGCATCCCAGCAAAGTTTAGGCACTCTCTTGTCAGTGAAAGTTGCATCTACAGAAGAGCAGCAATAAACACTCTCTGGTGTAAATTTAGCTTAAATCTTTGTCTGCACCTTACACGAGGCTCCAATCTGATTTGAAGCAACCCCATGTAAATGCTCCTGTCACACAAAGTAATAGAACAGTATTGGGACTTCCTTGAAATAAATATTTTCTCTATCTTCATGTATATGTTTATTTTAAAATAACAAACTAGGTACTGTGGAACAAAATCTTTTGAGAAAAAAACCTCTTCCTTCCTCCCTATTAAAGCATTCATGCTTTCAGAAAAAGGAGACTCCCTGAATGACTACTTATAATTCCACTAACACTGAGCTACCGTGGCTAAATAAATGCGAAAAATTATTTGTTGGATAGTAATGTTGGTATTTATTTACTAAGTATGTCCTAAGCCAAGGCAAAAATTTATTTATAACAGCTATAGTAGGGTATAGAACAAAAGTCTGACAACTTATGGCCCCTGAGGTAAATAAATCTCCCAAAAAGGCAGAGAGAGAAAGAGAAATGGAAAAATTATTATGAAGGTGCTTTTATTTGCATGAGACCTGTTAGACTCCCTCAGGTAAGTCTGCCAAGGAATCCATCCTTACAATCCGAGAAATCTCTACCACAGTGGAAATAAAACACTGCAGCAGCTCATACAAATACATTCCTTAGAGTTGCAGGTAATTTATTCTGTCTCTACTGCGCTCTCTTATGAAGAATTACACCAGAAACTACAGCAGTTCACAGAAGTTTTGTGAAATTTCAAATTTTTGATAAGGAAAAAAATACCAGCATTGAAACTTTGCTTTTTTAACTGAAATTACACAACTCTTATTTTCACAACTCCAGGGCTGATTCATTTTTTATGCTTCAAGTATCTAGCTACAAAAATGTCTTTCTCCTCAATATTTATTTTGGCTAAAGATAAACCACTCACAAATATACTGATACCATTAAAAGAAAAGTTAAATTATTATTAATTATAAAACCAAATATTAATAACAACTATACTACAGGCAAAAATCCTCCAATAACTTTTCATCTGTGGCTCACGTTAATGCCATGTTCAGAAATAAGCACCACACAAGCTGAACTACACTAATTCCCCACAAAATAACAGCTGATAGTCCCAATCTCGGAATGTGGTGTTGTAGGTGTATTAAAACCCAAACAACTACAAGTTTCCAACTGATTATTTGTAAGTGTAAATATTTCAAAGAAGGTGTAAAAATAACTAACACTAGGAGGACACTAGGAGCTACTTGCGCAGATCATTAAATGAGTCTATAGCCTAGACAGGAAACTATCATTCACTCTCTATACCCAAGCAGCCAGAGGCAGACTGCTCCAGGAAACAAAACATAGCAAGCATTAAACTCATTTCTCTTCAAAAGCAAGAACGAGCTGCTGTTTTACCCCCACCCATATTGCACATCATGGCTGTGTGTGAAGTGGCCACCACACAGATCACAAAATAAAAATAGAGAGGTAGGACATGGACTGGCAGTATTATTGGCCAAGGTTCTCAGGCCTGGCAGTCTTCATGCAGATTTGTGAACCAGCACCAATTTAAAAGTCAGATACTTTGTGCAACTTTGGTGAAAATCAGGCTGAATTTCGACACTCCTTTGCCTCAGATAATGCCAGAGGGCTTCTTTATGCTAGAAATCACACCAGTATTCTGTACCGCCCTCTAAGCTCAAAAAAATTTCATAGCATTCTAGCTAAAGCCAAAAAAAGGTTTGGGCTTGGCTACATACTGCTTGCTGACTCAAGAACAGCAAAGGGAAAGCAATGAATTCAGAAGTCTCACTAGGAAGCTGAATGAAACCAGAGGCGACTTTTGTGCTCTCAGCACCTATGACTGTAGCTCTGCCTATCTTGTACTCTAGCTAAACAACTGTACATCATTTCAGGATCCAAACTCATCAAATAAACTCAAATATGGATCTCACAGCATAGGACCTAGGCTGACCACAGTCATTTCAACTACACAATGTCACATTGCCCATATCCAGTCTAGACTCAGAAGTACCAGTGCAAAACAAGGAAGAGGAAAGGGATTAATTGGTTTAGGACTGTGTTATGACAGGAAGACAGTATCTAAGCTACTTTGCCCATAGTAAATGGGGAAAAAAACCTAAACCTGGTCAAACTGCAGGTAATCTTCATGTTATCAAGGGCATTTTCCAAACGCCTTAAACACTGATAGGTCTGGGGCATCGACCACCTCTCTAAGAAGCCTGTTCCAGTGTTTGACCACCCTCTTGGTAAATGAATGCTTCCTAATGTCCAGTCTAAACTTCTCTGATGGAGCTTTGAACCATTCCCATGCATGCTTTCACAGTATAGAAGGGAGAAGAGATCAGCACCTCTCTCTGCACTTCCCCTCCTCAGGAAGCTGTTGAGAGCAATGAGGCCGCTCCTTTAATTCTGCTGGGTAAACAGGAAGTTCAAATGCTGGATTAACTTCCACTTATTTCTGTTTAATACCAGTACAATGTCTTTGCTTTGCCAAATGAATGTTTCCTGTGGTATTGAAATAAAACAGTAGTCACTGGTTGGGATTCATGTGTTAAAAACACACACCAACCAATTCCACACGAAAGAAGAAAAGATTTTTTTTAAAATACTGGAAGCACATGTTTATCTCTGCATGCTCTGTTGATCCCTCACTTAATCTAACTGAAGAGGAAAAAGAGAGTACCTCAAAACTTCCTAAGTGGTAGCAATCAATATTTTCTCAAAATAGTCACGCAGCAAGGGAAAGATGTATTTGTGTCAAGATATAGAAGATAATGTATAGCTACTGGAGCAGTCTGCATAAGGACCACAGTGACTGCCAAATGAAGACTGAAAGGGAGGGTACCACAGGTTGACACAAATCCATCACACACCTGAGCTTTGCAAATTCCACCGTTTCTCTACTTGCTTCCTAAAAGAATGAAAAAAATCCTTGTCTTGATCTATACAGCCCTCAAAGGTGACCTGAAAAGGAAAAAAAAAAGTGTTTGACTCTTTTGGTTGGCTTGCTTTGCTAGTTTAAAATGCACAAAGAATGTCTTCAACAGACTGTTTTCCCTTACGCTTATATATATACTCAACTGTTAATAAGAGAAAGCCCATTCTTACTGGAAGTTTTATTTGCTCTCTGAAAAATATTGCTTAAATGCTTTCTTGAGCCTGTTTTGAAGCCTAGGCACCTGAATCCTACCAAGCTGTCTGCCATTAGTCACACAGCCTTCTAAAGTAGAGAGGATAAAAACATATGTAACACATGGGAGGGAGGAATCAGCAAAAACTTTACCCACCGAATCAGTTTGGAGACTTCTCTGCACATGTAAAGTTAAAAAGTAAAAAAGGAGAAAAGGTCCTTTCCTCTTTTCTTCTGAAGGTCACCTTTTAAATATTATTATGGTAGTAACAGAAAACCAAACGAGAATTGGGGTAACACAGAAAATCAGGAACTGCACAAGCATATACTTAGAAAGGGTATAAGCTGCCGAGAGTTCACCTTTTAAACAATGAGAAGATTGTTCTTTACACTTATGTAGGTTTCTTTGATCTATCATAGAAAGTTATGTTCCTCTTCAAAATGTAGATGCAGAGAAAGACTACTTTTAGATAAATTGTTCAGATACAACTCAAGATTTAATGAACACCAGGAATGATACTGGTTGGTATTTCCAATAGGAAGCAGGGTGATGGGGCACAATGCACCTCTGTAGGGTTACTAATGACTCCAAACTGCAGAGAGAGAGGTGGGACACAGAAAGGCATTTCTGAACTGTCTAGATAAATTATTTAAACAAGGATTCTGTGAGATCAACATAGACAACTACATCACTCCCAAACAGAAGAGGAAGAAGGCACCTGGCTTCCATTGGGCTGCTGCACCAGGGTGACAGGACAAGACTCTCAGAGGGTCACTGAGGTCCTTGGGGCCTGGAGGTGGAGGTTTTTCAGTCTGAGAACAAGAAGCCAGGCCCTCCATGGCGATGCACAACAAATAGCAACAGATCAAGCAGAGAAGTTAGAGAGACAGCTTTTGCTTTGGTGTGGTGGTTTAACCTTGGCTGGCCACCAGGTGCCCACCAAAAAACTACGCTATCACTCCTCCTCCTCAAGTGGACAGGGGGAGTAAATATGGCAACAAGCCTGTGGGTCAAGAAAACAACAGGGAGATATCTCAGCAATTACTGTCACAGGCAAAATAGACTCGACTCAGGGAAATTAATTTAAGGTATTACCAATCAAATTGGAGTAGGATAAAGAGAAATAAGAACAAATGTTAACACACCTTCCCCCCACCCCTCCCTTCTTCCTGGGCTCAACTTCACTCCCGATTTCTCTACCTCCTCTCCCTGAGCAGTGCAG